AAACGCCCTTTCTATGGAAAGTCTTCTGCCGCTAAAAGAATGCAAACACAAAGAGCAGCTAAAACAGGAGAAGAATGCAAAAGTCGAAAACTTGCATGAGATTAAATATGTGTACTGAGGAAGTATGTAATACGCCATTTTCATTTCACACAATATATATTCTTGCTAATTGAATTATTTACTTTAGGAACTTAAACGGGATATTCGAAAATTAAAAAAAAACAACGAAAAACGATGTTAAAAAAAAGCTGCAAGACAGGCTGCTCAAATACAGGAAGAGACTTTGGAACAACGTAAAGTTAGACTTCGAGCTCAAGCTGAAAGGCAGGCTACTCAAAGACAGGAAGAAACTGTTGAACAGCACAAAGCCAAAGTTCAGTCAGAATCATCGAGACAAGCTGGATATAGACAACAAGAAACTTCTGAACAACGTCAAACCAGACTTCAGTCACAAAAATTAAGACAAATAACTTACAGAGAGCAAGAAACAGAGGAGCAGCATGATGTACGACTTCAGGCTCAAAGAACAAGACAAGCTCAAACACGATCTAATTTCAAATAAAGCTTTGTTTGATTAAATGCTTTTTATTTTTCGCATCATAGCTTTTGTCTACTTAATGATTAATTGCTGAAAAAAATACTGAGCTATACATTTCAAATCTAAATTTTCACCGTGCAATGCCGGGTAACTCAGCTAGTAATCATATAAATAGCGAAATGTTCTAATTTTATTTCACTCTTAACAATGATTATATATCAACATACTGAAATTTACGTTACCAAAAACATTATTCCACTTTACTATCATTTGTTCAATCCATGCTGTAATTGAAACATATTAAAACAAGTAAAGGCACTACAGTTAACAAAAGCACTATTCCACTTTACTGTCACTTGTTCAATCTGTACTGTATTATTATAATTAAAACTTATTAAAACAAGTAAAGACATGTAGAGACACTACAGTTAACAGAAACACTATTCCACTTTACTCTCATTTGTCCAATCCATGGTGTAATTAAAACTTATTAAAACCAAGTAAAGACATGTAGAAACACTACAGTTAACAAAAGCACTATTCCATTTTACTGTCACTTGTTCAATCCATAGTGTAATTAAAACTTATTAAAACAAGTAAAGATACTACACATAACAAAAGCACTATTCCACTTGTCTCATTTGTCCAATCCATACTGTAATTAACATAACATATAATATAATTTTTTGGGACAACATGGGACCTATTGGTCCAACTTGCCTGTTTCATCCTCTAAACTAAATTAAGATAATATAAAAAAAAAATCTTAAAGCCGGCCATTATCATTCATATACTTATCAAGCTTTCTCCTACACTCACTTAAATTTACTGCCTCTACAACATCCAAAGGCAACCCATTCCAAAGACCAACCACGCTGATAGAAAAATAAAACTGTCATAGCTGAAGATGACTCCCAGCGCCAAAATTTATATTTGTGTTCCCTAGTCCTACTATTCTCATTGTTAAATATGAAAAAAGATGATACATCAATGCTATCAATTCCCTTTACAATCTTAAACACCTCAATCAGATCCCTTTTAATTATAGTAAATGCAAGATAATGCATGTGGGTTATCATAATTTGAATTATAAGTATAATTTGGATGGAAATAACCTTAACAATACCATGAAAGAAAGATATCTTGGTGTAATAGTTGATTAGTCTCATAAGCCATACAAGCAGTGTGTTGTTGCTAGTGGTAGGGCAAATAGGATTTTAGATTGTATCTATAGAAATATTGAATACAAGTCTAAAAAGGTTACTATTTCATTATATAGGTCACTGGTTAGGCCACATTTGGAGTATTATGTTCAGTCTTGGGCTCCTTACCTTGAAAAGGACATGAATTGTTGGAAAGGGTTCAGAGAAGGGTTACTAGAATGGAGCCTGGGTTTGTCATACGAGAAGAGATTAAGAACTCTGAAATTATTTTCTCTTAAAAAAAGATGAGTTAGAGATCCATCTGCCATTTATTTGCCCAGCTCACTAAATGATCTAAATCCTTTTATAAAGCAGCAGCATTTTCACAGCTAGCAACGTCCAAGACCTTAAGCACAGAATTTCACACAGAATAACACGTTTTAGTTTCTTGTGACAGTGGAGTAAAGCTTTGGTCTCAGATTTTCCAAATAGATATTACCAAGGATTGACATTAGTGAAATACTTCTTTGAAGATGACTAGATATTGAATATTCAATGATTAAGAATCAATTAGTTTGTTGTAACTGCATCTTAAACTGGAAATTCGTATTGTTATTATTATCACATTATGATAGTAGAGTCAACATTTATGACTGGTAAAATTCTATTTCTATCTATCACAAAGCGTGGTAGTGCTTAATAATCAGGGATGGGCCTGAAAAAAAAAAGACATATATTAGGTCATCAAGAAATTAATGTCACTTTTTTATAGAAGAAAAAACCCATACAACTTATGTATCAAAACAAAACATTTATTAAATGAAATAGTCTCCATTCTTATCAATGATGCTTTTTCTTCTTAAAATCAAGTTGTTAATGCCCTGATTTTAGAAATCACTCAGCTTTGAAGCAAAGAACATGTCGATGTCTTCTTTAACACTCGCCACATTTGCATACGTTTTCCCATTAAGACGGTGTTGCAGCGAATAAAAAATATGGTAATCTGATGGTGTCATATCTGGAGAATATGGTGGGTGGGGAAGAACTTCCTAACCCAACCAACTCCATAATCTTATGTTGCATCAAATGTGCCACATGTGGACGTGCATTGCCATGGAGAAGAACACCTTTCTGATTGATGAGCAAAGGGCGATTCTGATGAAAGGCTTGATTTAAACATTCCAGTTGCTGACTATAGATCTCTGCATTGACAGTTCACTGTGGATTGAAGAGTTCAAAATGAATTACTCCTTTGATGTCCCACCAAATGCAAAGCATCACTTTCTATGAATGGAGTCCAGGTTTGGGGGTTGGAAGTGGTTTTTGTCTAGGACTGAGCCATTGTTTTTGGCATTTAATATTCGCGTAGAGAATCCTTTTTTCATCACTGGTGACAATTCTGTTCAAAAATGGTTCAGGTGCATTACTAGCCAGAAGAGACGAAGCAAGGTTCACACATTGGAAACGAGTATCATCGGAGATCTCTTGAGGCACCCAAACACCTTCTTTATGGAGTTTTCCCACATTCCTTAGATGTTTACACATTGTTTCATGAGAGACATGCAATTTCAGGACCATTTCACGAGTGTGTGTTGCCTTGGGTTAGACTCAATAAGCATCTTCAGAGCATCAATATCAATTCCAACATGTCGGCTCCTGTAATCACAGTTTTTAAGGCTAAAGTCACCTGAGTGAAATTTGCTGAACCATCATTTTGACTTACAAATGTTCAAAAATTTCCATAAACTTCTTTGATATTCTTTGTACAGAGGCGTTGTTTCCCTTCTTGTATTCAAACAGCATTACATGCCGAATGTGTGTGTCATCATGTGCCATCACTATAAGGGATTAGAGTATACTAAACTTTACACATTATATAGGCTACACTATTGATGGACATCATGTGTTGAAGTTAGTGAAATGCTATGCTGCTTCTGCACTTCCCAAGTTAAAATGCATCATTTTGGTGTGTAAGTCATTGAAACAACATAAAGTATTGGTGAGGTAGCCCTTCTGATGCCAGAACCAGCAGAACATTTGGCTATTGATACAATACTCACTGGTTCTATACTTTAGCAATGTTTTTGGCTAAACTGAAGATTTTAATAGCTTTTGAAAACCTCAAAAACCAAACTCAGGAGTTTATAAAAGTCTCTTAGATTGTTATAAGAGAGATATGAAACTGTGATGAGCAATACATAATATTAGGTCATTAAGAA